TTCATTGGGCTCTGCCGTCCTGTAAAATAAAATAAAATAAAATAAAATAAAATAACTACACCCTCATGTTTCAGGAGCTTGCGGGACCACCTTTAACGGCGTATAACTGAAGTAATCGTTTTCTGTGTGACTCTCTGGGAGTCTCCCACATCATTGTTGAAGAATTTTAGCCCACGTAGCAAGAGTACTCTTGCTTCAATTCTTGAAGGTTGCAGGCATTCATTTATACACAGCTCTCTTAACGTCCTGCCACAGCATTTCAGTCGAGTTGAGGTCTTTGACTGGATCACTGAGTCAACATCTTGATTCTTTCCTTTTTCAGCCATTCTGTTGTAGCTTTGCCCAAACCCGCAATGTTCTGTTTCATTACACACTGAAATTTGATCATTTGACTCATTTGCATACAAAGAGTTCACTTATGACTCAATGACCACAAGATCCCAAAAGTCCTTTGATATGATATGTTGTGTTTGGTTTTCACAAAACATGGCGTTGTGCATTGTGCACTTGGGTCTCATCTGTCTAAAGGGGCTCTTATGGTTTTCTCTGATGCAACTTTGAAAACTTTAGCCATGCTGTTTGATTGTACTGTCATGAACATTGTTTAACATGCAAACTGAGACTTTTAGAGTGGGTGGGGTGTGTGTGTGATCAGGTAAATGAAATAAATTTGTCTAGAGTTCCTCTTTTTAAAATTACTGTAAACAAAACCTTTAAGGCAAAAGAAGAATCTTTATTTACAATTATTATAGTCAACCAGTAGCATCAGTTTAATAACCTGATAAGATGTGCATTATTAGAACGTGGTACTGATGTTTTTGTTTGACAGATGCAGTTACAGCAGTAATTTGTCGATTAAGTGATTACATTTACTCTGGTTGTCATAATTTGGAGATGTACGCACATTTAAAAGATCCAAGTTTGTGATGCAGGTGACGTCTTTATTATTATTGGTGAATTATGTTGTAGGAACAGAACAGAAAAAAACAAGCTTTAAACTGTCTGGGATTAAAACATCCACCAAATTAGTCATGTAGAAGCCACTTAAGAATGAACACATTACAGTGGCAAAGCTATTTTTTGGTGGGGTCAATCACCCTCCCCATGAACAGCAGGCAGTTTGTGTTTTCATGGTATATGAAGAAGAAGAAGGGTCTGTTTATAGTGAAGGTCCTCGGCAGGGAGTATGGAATGATACCGATTGTTGTGGCAGCTGCTGCAGTTGTTCCTGTCTCATCCACATCAACCATGGCCTTGTGAAGCACCTACAATGTCACAGCAAGGTTAAAAGTGTTTTGCTGCACTATTTGGGGAACAGGCACATGTGTCGCTACATGATACCGAAAGTGACAACTAACCTCTGACAGCTTGAGCCCTTTGTCCTCACTGAGCTTTGTCAAATTGGACAAATTATTAAAGACACTGGTCATGCCCATATCCGGTAGGAGATTATGCAGGGAATACGACTGCTCCATGTTGAATTTGGGCATCTTGACTTCTAGTTTCCTGCAAACAAGACATGAGTTGACATGTTGAATAGACTGGCTCATCTGCTGCAGGCATTGTTTGATGGTCATTTAGAATTTTTACAGCTAAACAACAAAATATGCAGACACTTGGTTAAAGCGAGGCATTTTTCCGCATGTACATTTTTCTCAGTTTTGCAATCCAGCTCTGAAACCTCTCTGCAGTAATCTCATCATCCACCATAGTGTAGTCCATGTCTGGGTTGGGGAGCAGGATAAGCATGGAAACACCCTCTTGGTATGGCAGTTTCAGCACTTTGGCTCTCAGAGAAACATCTTCTGCAGTGTAGTACTTGTCTTCTTTGAACATCATAGGCACCTGCACAATATTATAATTATCGATGTAGAAGGGTGCATTTCGAGTCAAATTGGAGTTGAAAGGCATCTTCCAGGCTCCTGTGGAGCAGGTAATATTGTACGTTTAGTTATAAACAAAACAGTTCAAAGGTGCAGACATGAATATTAGTATAATTAATAGCACATAAGCCCAAAATCTAAAGTGTGCAAAAAAGATTTAATTTACCTTGAAAGAAAATTGCATTCATTAACAGGAGTTTGGTCTGTTCGTCCAAGGCTGAAATCATCTCTGTAATCTTGCCTCCAGTCTTGTCCCTAATGTACTCATTGATTACTCTGATACTCTCTGTTGTGTCCGCAAAATCAACAGTTTTGATATCTGCATTAAAAAACGTATTGATTTTGGTTTCAAACTCCCTCTCCATGATAAATTGGGGTTGGATAAACAAGGCCATGCTATGATCAAATTTCAGCGATCCGTTTTGCGTGACGTTCTCGTGAAGGAGTTGAAATAGTTTAGGGATAAGATCCGGCTGGTCGGCCCTCTCCAGCGCCTCCAGGTTTAGTACCTTCAGGATCTCCTTGTGTGTGACACCGTCAGAAGCCATTAGAAGAGCCGCAAAACTGGTAGAGATACTCAGGGGGGAAAAAAAGATGTTCTTGTCATTGTAACTGGATATCTTTCTGTAAAGGTTCATGGCAAAGTCCATATTTTTGAAGGAGAGATCTGAGATGGTGGCACTGTTAGGTTCAGCTTGGTGGATAGGAGTCAGAAAGCACAGGAGGGCCACAAAGAGAAAACAGGCCATCTTCATTGTGTTTAACATCAAAATCAGAACCTGGAAAGTTTTGGGTGCACACCCAGAAACGAGAAATAAAAAAAAGCACCACTGTACAGCAGCACAATCACTAAATCTACAAAAAAATATAAGATTACACCAACTGAATACTCATTTCTTCATTATACTTAGAAAACGCTCCGAAATTCAGTTTGTTTTTAAGTTTAACGAAATAACACACGTACCTTTCAGCTTGGCCCAGATTGTGCCTGAAATTTCTCTGTATTTTTTTGGGGGAACAAAGTGCAAGTGTGCTCTACATGTTACACATTAACCACAAAACACGTATTCAGAGGTGAATCCATAAGAATCAATCGATAAGTAAATGAGACACGAGAAGCATTGGGAGTGATTTTCACTTTAATCCTGGAATGAGAACCAATATATTAAATGAAAGAATGTGCTGTTCTAACATGAAGTATAACAAAAATAATGAATTTAAGAACACAGTGAATAAAATAAGAATTAAAAAAAAAAACCCCAACTACCAACATTTTCTAATTTTTCACAAGTGCATTTTAAATAGAAAAAATAGTAGATCCAAAGGAAACAGAACGGGAACAAAATCTTGGAATCGTCTTAAAAATCATCCAGCACAATAAGCCAAACTTTGCATGACATCTAACATGTTAGTGAAGGCATCAAGACACATTTGCGCTGAATGGTCAGTTCGATGTTCTGAATGAATGTAAAGTGTTTTAATGCTGTAGTTTGGTGTAGTCACAAGGACAGATTCTCACTTTCAGGACTTTACGGTCCTGTGGAGAAAAATAAGTGAGAATAAGTCAAATCAACCACTTCCTCAAAGGGTAGGTGATGTGACACATTTTTGACATTTTCTTCATTTATTGAAATTGCTTCCCCCCCCCATTTTCA